TACTGTTTTTCTTATACATTTTATTGTTGGATGTAACTGGGACCCTGCGTACATAATTTCGCTCCACCACATGTACCACATGAGGTGCGAATGACAATAAAGAAACTCTGACTCTCTGACTCTGACATTGATGTGAAGGTTATTCTCTTTGCACCAGCTCTCCAGGTGTTCCACCTCTTGCCTGTAGCTGGACTCATCATTGTTTGTGATGCATCCCACCACCGCTGTATCATCTGCAAACTTTACAATGTGACAGCCTGGATGGGTAGCTGCACAATCATATGTGAGTGGAGTGAACAGGAGAGGGCTCAGCACACATCCCTGAGGGGAGCCAGTGCTGAGGGTTATGGTGAAAGAAGAGAAGTTGTGGATCCTCACTGACTGTGGTCTGTTTGTCTAGTATCCAGTTCCAAATGGAGGTGCTTAGTCCTAGTGTGAGTAGTTTGTCCATCAGGGTTTGGGGGATCATGGTGTTGAAGGCAGACGTGACGAAAAAGCACATGGACATAAGAGTCCTTCTGCTCCAGGTGGTTGAACGGAGTGTGGACCACAGAGGAGATGGCATCCTCTGTTGATTGGTTCTTGTGGTATGCATACTGGTGAGGGTCCTCGTTGATGTTGATGTTTGTTTTGATGTGGGTCATGACCAGTTTTTCGAAGCCTTTAGCGACTATCGGGGTGAGGGCCATTGGCTGATAGTCATTCAGATCTGTCACTGTAGAGCTCTTTGGGACTAAAATGATGGTGGCAGTCTTCAGGCAGGTGGGAACTGTTGCCAGGGTAAGTGAGGTGTTAAAGATGTCTGCCAGCACCTTGCAGAGCAGATTCTTTCAACACTTTCCTGGGGATGTTGTCTGGGCCGGTTGCTTTGTGCGGATTAATCCTCCTGAAGGTACTCCTTACTTCTGCTGAGGTCACGCTGAAAAGCTCTTCATCCCGTGGTGAGGTGAGTCTGGTGCTGGGTGGTCTGTTCGGGTCTTCAAAGCATGTGTAGAACTTGTTGAGGGCATCAGGCAGGGATGGGTTTTTGGGGCATTGTTCACTCCTGCCTTTATAATCTGTTATGCACTTAATGCCCCTCCACATGCTCCGAGGGTCTTGTGAGGTGAATTGACCCTCAATCCTCTGTGCATATGTGACCATGGCCCT